TGAAAAAACCCCCCCACCCCCCCCCCCCCCCCCCTAACACACCAAAAAAATAAAAAATAAAAAGCTAACCATCCATCAATCCAAGCATGGTACTTCCATCATGCCATACTGCCACCACACCACTATCACCAAGCAGTAATGCCATGAAACTCTGACGGTGTTATGCTCAAGTTTTAATATGCCTTTCTCCATGGTGCCGGCAAATTATATACTATAGCATGTAGAGCTTGTTAAATGTGATGAAAAGTGTAATATTGGAAGTTGGTAAAATGCATTTTAAATTGATATCTCTTTTAAACTAGTAGTTTCGTGATCCTGGATGACCGAGTGTATTCAAATTTTTGTGCTCTTTCTTTGCCTCTCATCCTGGTTCATACTTCATGGTCTGTTGAGTATCGTGTATTCATGTTGGCCTATGAGATAAACAACATTACAGTATGCTTATCTGCAAAAATTTGTATTACTTTCAGGTAATGACAATTTTGATATCAGGTTCTCTCTTTGCAATCTCGTTTTTTTTGTTGAAACATGATCCAAATAGTACAGTTAGCAAGGACCGACTGGTATCCAAAGCCCATTATATAAGTGCCCTTTCAAAAGCATCATTAATCTCTGTTCTGATTTCAAGTCTCAGCTGAAGGTTAGATTTGTAATTGCAGGTTTTGATGATGAATATAGCATAAACATATCTGAAAGCTTTGTGGTTGCCTGATTCATGTTTTAAACTAGCTTATGATAATTCAATAGAGTAATGTTTCTTGTATGATATTCAACTTACAATGGACTTCTGCATCTTAAAAGCTCAAGGAGATTTTAATTTTCTTTCTTTATGAATTAAGAAATGGAAGGAAAAAAACTTCAGTATCTCAGTACCTGGTGAAAAATCAATTGTGGCCAACTTGCCACTGTCATTCCTTGTGTCTGTCCTACAAAAACAGAAGACACTAGTAGAGACTAGAGAACATATTATAATGCATGTGACTATCTTGGCAAGCTGAGGATTGCATTTGTTTTACTTGCATTCATTATTGGAAGCTAATATGTGGAGAGTTTTATAGATTGACAAATTGAACTTGGTAACGTTGTTCAAAACGTGATGAACAAAATGCATTAGCATTTAAATAATGGTAGAGAAGAAGTAATGTAGATGTAGCTTACTGAAAAGGTGTATTAACTTGAGGTCTATATTTCAGGTTCCCCTAATATGGTATTGGTATGTTCGGTACGAAAAGAAATCATGGCAATTTCGAGGTCTGAATTGTACTACTACTAATTAACATTGAATTTTGTATGATGTTTTTCATTTCTTTTGTAAATGCAGTTATTCCTTGATACGCTACGAGTATGATGATAGCCATGTATTTTTAATCTAACGGGTACATGTTTTTATCTAGTAGTTAAGTCATAGATGGCGTATTTCCAAAAATCACCAGCATCAACTTGAATTTTCTGTGTTTTTGTCTTACTTTCTTTTCTATTTTTTGCAACTTGGTATGGGCGATTGGGCCACAAAGGTGTAAGTTTTCATTAACTTGATTACTTAAACTTCTGTATATGAGCGAGGTTGATTCATTGGACGAATTTATGCAATTGGACTGGTAAGTCACACATATAATGTTTCATTTGCAAAAATTTGTAATTTATACTTTTAACTAGATAATCATCGCACGGGTTTCTAAATGTGTGAAATATAAATTTAAAAAGTATTCAAAAAATTATTTATTGAAAATAAAAGTATAAACGTTTTTGGTTTTTAATTTTGAAAATTCTTAAAACTAGCTTGATGAAATATTACTTTACTAATGATATATAAATGTATTATATTTTATTTATATTAAAGAAGTTTACTCATTATTTTAGTATTAATTAAAAAGTTTAATTTTCATGAGTCTTTAGTGTAAAGAATTTTATACTAATGTATTAAAAGTTATTATACATATAGTCTTTATTATAAAATTTAATAAATAATAATTCGGTATTAGATTGCTATTTATGGTAGTAATTTGAATTAAAAATTTAAAATAATTAAAGGAATCAAATTTATTCGAATCAATGATTAAATAAAGAAATATTTATTTGATTTCATTTGTATATTTATAACGTGTTGTATTTTGTAATATTCATGGACCATGATTCATTTATATTATTGTCGTGATCTTTTTCTTTTATGTCATTAGAATTAATAAAGAAACATTTTAAACCATCCATGAGAAAATTAACAAAAATTATAATTAATTCAAAATTATTAAGGTGGCTTATGATGATACAAGATTGACTAAAAGTTATTAGTGCAAGTAGTTGAATACTTATAATTTTTAACTAAGGTTTGATGTTCCATTTTTAACTTGTGTAAGAAGTCTTGATAGGAAGTATATATAACTTTATTCTTAAAAATGGGTATATTTCAATTTAGGTATGAAGTCTTAACTGAATTGTATTACTTTTTCCTTAAAATGGGTCAACTTGGTGGAAGAGAATTACTTGCATACACCAATTTTATTCTCTTTATAAATGCTCAACATTCACCCATCAGAATTTACTGTATAACGAATTTTTAACATTAAATAATGATCCAACTTTGGGTGTCTATTAGTATTATGTTGTCACGATCTTAATGTTGTACCATAATATATAAAAACACGATGCAGAGGCAGCGGCAGACAGCTGCATAAATGATATATTAATTGAAAAAAATGAAAGTCGATTCATATATAAAATTTGTGTGTGCCGATGATTGACGTGAGCGTAATTATATATTTTCTTTGCACTATATTATTTCCATGTTCATTTTCACATCACTACAGCCTTAAGAGAGAAAATGATAAATTAATTAAAGGGGTGTCTTTATTGCTGACATATATAGTTCAAGACATGGGTAAGATCGTTAAACACGATCAATACACTTATTTCCTTCTAATTATGTCCACTATATCTTCAATATTCATAGAATAATCTTTCCACTACTACGAGTGAACCATAGACCTGATAATTGCACCCTTTGCTGCTTTACTTGACCCTGCACCATCACATCAAAATCCACAAAAGTCAGTGTGAATATCATTTTTTCGGTGACCAATTTTGGGATAATTAAATTAAAAAAAACCACTAAATAAAAAAGAAATAGACTAATGATACTTCCTGTACGTATTTAATCACTTTTTGGTTTCTATAATTACCTAAACTTTGCTTTTTAAACATTTTATTATATATTTTCAATAAAAAATATTTTATCTTAATTAGTTCTTATATATTATTTTTTTATTTTAATCTCTGTTTATTATTGTCATGGAGATTAAAAGATAAAATTTATAAAATTATAAGGATTAAAAAAAAAACAAAGTGAAATATTTTTAAATATTGAGACTAAAAAATAAAATTTATAAAATTATAACAATTAAAAGAATAATTATTATTTTGTTATTTTTATCTTTCATCATGCATAATAAATGTAATGAATGATACTCCATAAGAAGAAAATAATATTATACAAATCGTTGTATAATTTTACTGTAGAAGTGAGTGTAGGGCACACTTACGCTGAGCAGTTGGTGGTAGGGTAGACTTTGTAGGGACACTTGGTGCCACATTTGCTAGCAACTTTATTGACACGGTTGTAATTAATGCCAGGGATGTATGCTGCCTTATCCTTGATGCATTGGCATGCAGCTCTTCGATCATCTCCATTCTTATATGCTTTGTTGATATCGTAAACACCTTGGCAGCACAAAGCAGACACGTTCCCTCCCATCACTGCATAGGGTATGCATGGACTCAGCCATATGGTCACTTGATCACATGTCAAGGTTGATTCAGAGTATGAGTATGTCATGAGCATGCATGCCATCACTAGACCAACCAACTCCACTCTACTCACTGCCATTATTCAGGGTCTCCTTTGGCTTTGTTTATGCCTAGTTTGGTCGATGGAATATGAGCATTAGGGTTTGCATTATATAGAGTGAAGAGGAGGGGTACGTGGGGCATTGGAGGGTTTTGGCAGTGTCTTTGGGCTGCGAGAAATTTGGAGATGGAGCCAAAGAATTTTTGGTGTTTGCGTGTGTGAGAAAATTCAAAAACGTCTCATGATGAAAGTTGGAAGTTGCGTATGTGGAAGATATTTGAGAAGTATATATGGAGCATAGGGATGAATAGGGTTTCTAAATGTTTCGGAACCGCCAAACTATGTTGTATAGGTGTGCTCGTTCTGATGATATTAATGTGTCAACCTCAAATTATTGAGTGCCGCCTTAATAGTGTTGCAAGAATTAACTGTAAATGTTCTCTATTAATGAATAGCTAAGAATGTTTTTGTTGTTGTTGATCTAGGTATCTCAACAGAAGTGTTTTCTGAAACACGAGAATATGGAAATCGAATATTCTTTTCGTTTTTATTCATAATCGTTTTAGTATTATTATTTTTTTATTTTTTTATTATTATTTTACTAAAATTAATTATTTATTATATTTTTTTATTTTTATTCTTGATAATTAATGTGTGTTTACTGAATAATATGTTTATTCATTTTTAATGTACCTATTTCTTCTATAATTACTTAAAGAATGTAACAGAAAAATAAATAATAAATACTTTAAAAAACTAAAATATTAATATTTTTTTAATTTTTATATATAAATCTTATACGTAAAAAAAAAAAAATAGAGAGAGGACCAAATAACAGTTAACAAAGATGGTGATCTTTCAACTGTCACTCCTATTAATTAGATGAGTAAAAGTGAATCAAACCGATTCATTAAAGTTGGTGTTAAATGCGCAATATAATCTATTCTCCTATATTCTCTTTTTTATGAGTTAAAAAAATTCTAACAAACTTCGATCTATTACGGTTAGTGAATTAAGTGGATTGATTCATCAAATTTTTTAAAATAAAAAATTAGAAAAATAAAATTTAATTATATATTTTTGTTTTTAATAAATAAATTAAAAAGTTATAATTTTTCTATCAAGAAATCAAGTTTATCATTGATTTAAATATAAATATAAAAAAAATATTAATCAAAATTTTAAATGATAATTACATAAAATATTATATAATTTTTTTATATATTTTTAATTATTGTAAGTTAAACGAGACAACTTAATATAGTTAAGCTCAAACCTTTTTGGTTCATGGATTAACCAAATCAAATTAGAATTAATTTATTAGCCAAAATTAATATGCTTTATTTTTTCCTAGCCTAACTCAGTTTAGACATGTAATTAGCGAATTAACTCATTAGGTTGGACTCACATCGATATCTTTACGATATGCAGATCACTTTTTATGACATCTAAAGCATGTCTTGAGAATTGGTTTCTTTTTATAAAATAAAAAAAAAAAAAAAAAAAAAAAAAAAGGTTATTTTTGCAAAATACACAAAGCTTTCCCCGAAAATAATTTGACAGGTTGTATTTGTACAAGGGTATAAAAAAGAATACGCTATCATTGCAAAGATTATTTACTCTATTACAAAACCTAGCGAAATTAGCTTACAAGACAATTTATTACTGAATGAGGGGTTAAAAGAACTTTTTTTGGCTAATCATTTATTCCTTTTTTAGTTGTGTGGAATTTTTAAAACTTTTAAATCAACTGTTACTGTCGATTGATTATGATCGATGTTGGAGATGAAGTTTTTAACAAGTAGTCGAGCTCCATTATGGCATCTTATTTTCTTATTTGGCGTTTTTAGTGCTTTTGCTATCATCCTACCACGTGTTAGAAAAGAGGGGGAGGGGGTATTTTATAAGTTTTTAGTTTAGAATATAATAAAATTTAAATTTAAATAATTTTATCATAAATAATCATAACATAATAATAATCGAATTCATAATATTAAAAAAATAAAAAAATATATTTTAGTAATCCATGAAAAGTAATTATTCTTATGATAATGATCAACTAAACATGAGACGAATATATATAGTCTTTACTTTATATCTTTTTTTAAAAGTATTTTACATTAATATTTATATAATATTTTAAAAAATCATAGTTAAAGTCACTCTTTTTTTTTAAAAATTTTATTATAAAATTTATCTCTAATAAATATATAATGCTCATGATATACACTTAAACCCTAAATTCTAAACACATATATACACTTCCGCTTCATTTTTTTTAAATAGGCACCTTTTCCTCTCTCTTTTTTAAAATAAAATTACTAAATACTTTTCTAATTTATTTCGTATTAAATAAATTTTATTTTGAAGATAATCTTTTTCTTTTGTTCATATTTCTTCTTCTTTTTTTTCAAGCTCATCTCTTCGTTCACTCTTTTTATTTTTGTTTTTTTTCTTTCTCTCTCCAACAATCAAACAATCATACCTCATCTTTATATTGTTCCCTACATTTTCCATTTATAATTTATGTAATTTATTTAATATGACTTATACAAAACAACTAATTTGATATTTAAAATAAAAAAATAGCTTAATGAGTTTGTTGTACATACATGTCTTCATAAGGTATAAGTAAATCCCAAATTTTCAAGGTATTTCATCAATTCTAGATTTTTTTTTCATACTTCCAGAAAAAACTATTCAATAATGTGTTTTTTAGTGTTATGTAAAGTACGCACTTTTTTAGAATCATGAAAATATTATTCTAAATTTTTTTTTCAGAATACTAAAATTAGTGTTATAGAAGCTGAGTGCAAGTGAAACGAAGGATGCGTAAGAATCTTAAAATTCTAAAATTTTAGTTCATTTTAAATCTTGAGAATTGGAGGAAATGGATGCATTTGAAAGAGGTGTGAATGCTTAGAAAAAAAATGAACGTTGAAGGCAAGGAGGTTCGCAAAGTCAAGAAATTAGAAAATATAAAAATACTAATTAAGGGTATTTTGAAAGAGAGAGAGTATAATAAAGGTGTCTTATTAATGTGAATAGGTGTATATACCATGAATTAATGTATAAATATAATTATCATTTTAAGGTTCATCTTTAAAAAAATTATTTTTTATCGAAAGATTATTATTAAATTTTAAAAAGTCTCACTTTAATATTTGTTTTAAGTCTAATAATATATTGAGTCAATCCTAATTATGGTCTGCAAGTAAATTAGAATCTTGCGTGATAGTGGATCAACTCACTTAAAAGGAGATGAGGTAGGTTGATCTACCAAATAAGAAACCACAAGACAGGTTGACTCATAAAAAAAAAAAGAGTTGAAAAATACAACCATCCCACTTAATTAACACTGTGCTGGCAAGTTAGCCTACTTTAGTGAGTTGGTGGGTTAAAAATAATGAGCTGGCGAGTTAACAATAGTGAGTTCACAAGTTAAGTCACCTTCAACGAACCCATTTTTTTTCTTAAAATAAATCTCAATTGAAATATTTCAATATATATTATTACTTTAATCTGTATTATTATTATTATTGTAAAATTGATTCGAAGGGTTATATTTTTTTCATGTACAGGAACAAATTAATATATATTTCTATTAAAAAGAGACACTATACAAGATAAATGTACTTATAAAAAATATGCGATTAAAACAATATATTTCTATTTTATATAAAATGAAAATAAGTATCTAGAAAGAGAAGTTAAGTTATTAAAAAAAATAGTGATCAAACACAAATTCACTATAAATTTTTCTTATAATTAAGAGCATAAAGCAAAACAAAAAAAAAAGTGAGTTAATAGGTTGGGGTACGAATAGACTAGACTTGCCGGTAAATTTATCTATCTAACTCAACCTATAAAAAATAGACAAGTTAATTAGATTCAACCCACATTGTCAATTAGAATGAATATACATTTGTCTTATATAATGGTCTAGGGATTAAGCTATCTATATGATAAACCGCAAGAGGTTTCAGATGGGAGTTTTTACATAAAAGGTAAGGAAGGGATTTAACTAACTTTTATGTATGGTGAATACACTACAAGAAATGTTACGTACGTATAGTGATATATAAAAAGTGTCACTATAAATACAACATATGTAGATATAAATTTATTTGTCATATAGCTATACAAAATTTTAATGTTAATTTTGAATGAGATTCAATAACATATATTATATATCAATGTAATGTAAACCTGTAACACTGTACACTTTTACTAATAATTGTCGATTTGGTTGAAGTATATGTTTTGGTGATTTTGATGTTAATTTGTTGAGAACTCTAGGAATTTATTAATTCTTGAGGAGTTTAAGTTGTTTAAGGGGTTTAAAGAAATAAAGTTCTCCTCCCCCTTACATGGATAAATAGGAGCTAAAACTTGGGCAGAACCTCCCCCTCTGGATTCCCTTTTTCTTTCCCTCTCTTTCTTTCTCTTTCTCTCTCTTTCTCTCTCTTTCTTTCTCTTTCTCTCTCTTTCTCTCTCTTTCTCTCTCTCTAAGATTTTCACCTTCTCACTAAGTTATAAATTTTTCACAGCCCAAGCCTCCTATTTATAGGCATTCTGGCGTACCCGGAACGGCCCGTACTGATTTCAGAACGACCCGTTCCGAAACCTTCAAATATACGTAAATTTCTCAACTGGAACGGCCCGTTCTGAAATCAGAACGGCCCGTTTCCAAAA